TTTACGAGTTTTAATTTTGAGATATTTAAGACAATTTTAAAGTTTTACCGCATTCAATTATTGATGTAAAATGACTAATTAGCTAAAAAAAAAGCAACTAAAATCAGGAAAATATTAATGTATTAATGTAGACTCGGAACTGATGTAACCAACATTGAGCTAAAACACTGTATAATTATACTCATTATAACACAAAATAACTTATTTTTTAGACACCAGCAAAAATCAATCATTAAAGTATAACCTTGGAATAACACATACGAATTAAGTATTTTTCACTTAGTCTTGATGAGAAAATTCTAGCCAAATTTTTCCTGAAGGATTTGAGTTATAATAGATTTGTTATGCTTCGGTGCAAAGGAGAGAATGTATTTTTAAATTAACTTTAAAGTTCTCTTTTCTAGAATCTAGAATTATATTTTATATTTCCTCTTTATTAAATTAATTATATACGTCTGTTCTTTTATTTTTACTAGATCATAGAGAAACCACTATTTCCTTCCGTAGGTCAGTGTGGTTGTTCTCTTCTACAAATTATAAACGCTCAGAGAAACTCATGCCTTTATTGTTCTATCATCCGTGCCGATGTTCATTTTCTTAAATTGTGTTAATATTGATTGCTAGAAACATCCGTAAACAGTTCACCGTATTTGGTACAACGTGTTTTAATGGTACTAGAAATTTGATGGGGTAAAATCTATATAGGAGTACATTAGTCGTACTCGCTGTTTAGGTTAGGTTACGATGTGGCGAATTAAATTACTTTTAAGTGTTTGGCATGACTGTAAAACTTGGCATTCTTAAAACCCCGAGCAGCTAAGAATTAACAATAACACAACATGCTCACTACAAATTATATTGTTCGCAAGAAATATTTTCTCGTCAGAAAGTAGTAATGATTGTGTTGACGATGCAGTTGCTTTACTAATTACCTATAATTCAATTTACATTAGTAGATCAATTTTTATTAGCATTACGACAATCAATATTCTTAATAACATCATGTATTTTTATTTTTCGAAAATGAAACTACAATAGAAAGTATCGTCAATTTTTTAATACAAAACAAGTAATCTTTGGGACAAATTACATTAGGTACGTTATTACTTTGATATGTAAATGACACAATTCATAATGGTGTTCGCTAAGTCCAAATCATTTATCGTCTCGACTGTATTGTGCATTTACATTTTGTTTATTAACGTTCTCTAATCTATGTTGGGTTACACTTATGAAAGTCAAAACTCTTAAACTAATTTATCATTTTTGTTAAATCGATTAACGCATTGGCGGCACTAGGGAACAGACGGGTTGGTATGAGAAGAGTAAAGTCAACGACTAAAATCATCCAACTCATAAAAACCGTCCAAATACACTCACAAGAAACGCAGTTCTGTACACTGCCGCCTATTCGTTGTCATCAATTACCTGCAGTAGAATAGTGATGAACGTTATCAGTGACAAAAACCTATTGTGAAAAAAGGATTGGATGCTTGAGCTGGTTGTAACCTTTTGGGAGTTTCTCAAATTACCTTTCTTTCCATTTTTTTTTTACCAACCGATTACTCCCGTTTGAAGGAAGGTAGGTAGGTACCAAATTGTTTCCTCACTGGGCCGAGATAATTTTGCCGTGTTGTCTTTTTTCACATCACACATAATATTATTAATTTCCTGGATGACCGAACCCATGTTGTTATTATTTTTAGGTAGGCTCTTACAACTCGTTTCCGTCGACGTAGTTACGCACACGATATGATTTTTTTTTGCTTCTATAACACACTATATTTATAAATAAACTTCCGACTTCGTTATTTAAATCGAGGTTTTTTACGTACCTGTAACGTTATAGCTAATATTTTTTTAAGATTTTGCAAATTGGCATTACAACGACGGCGACTACGATGAATTTCCGGTGACAACGAACTCTAATAATAAATTGAATACATAATAATATACTCATATGTGTATTATCATTTATTATAGGTGCTACTGTCACGCCGTTGTCGTCCCTAAGCACATAACCGTGTCGTTTCGACAATTTTTCATCGCCCATTCACTGTCACTATTAAATCCTCCATTCATTAATTTAATTTTCCATTCCGTTCCTTTGTCAACTAAAAAAATCATTTTAAAAACCTAACTATTTTATTTTAATTTCTCGCCATTTTTCCCCCGTAATAATAAAGTAAGTGTATAATTAAAAAAATGTATAACAGTGAAATATTACTGAGTTTATACTTGTTCTAAATAGTAAATACTATAGGTATTAATAATGATTTATATTAACTTAGATGACTTATTACTATTAAATTCCAGTTTGAAAAATTAATAACTATTTGGTAACCACCGTTAAATTACCAACTATTATTAACTTGACTTAAGCCCAAAAACACAATCATGTTAAAAAAGTTCTGCTCTATTTTAAGGTTAATTGTACACAAATAAATTAAATATTAATAAGATTAATACAAACGGTACAACTAAAAATAATTTTTTAACGATAATTAATTAAAACGACTCAAATTATTTTTATTTACTTTTGCCCTGTTAGTTTATCATAATTATAATTAATACAACATTATGTTATAAAAAAAAAACCTATAGTTACATTGCAAATAATTTGTTTTATACTTATTTACATGTGCGTATTTTTAAGAACTTAATAATTCAAAATGCACTATATTGTATTTTGTACTTTCATTTTCTATAAAATTCAAAATAAATAAATTACCTTCTATAATATACAATAAATTAAATCGAAAACAAATAATTTTATATTTTGACTTTTGAGTTAGCATATGAGAGTGTAATTAATTTCATGTTTTGCATTAAAAACTGACAATTAAAACGAGATTCAAAAAAGTTTTGTATTAAAAATTTTTTTGGAAATGTATGCACGCCTAGTCGAAACTATTCTTATCGCGATTTACTATCAAATCGAGAGTAACCACAAAATGTAATGGCATGTGTCAAAAGAAAACCGTTAATATGAACGTAGTAGGTAGTTGAACTTTTAATGTTCTTATAATTATAGCCTACCAAACTACTATAACAAAAAAATTCATAAAACGAATATTTTTTAACCTTTTTTGGTAATATGTACACATCGTTTTCTTTATTTTTACTTATAATACATTTTAAAATCAATGCCTAAAATAAACTAAAAAACATTAGTTTTTCACAATGTTAAATAGCAAAAATCATTCTTAGAATTTTCCTTTAAACGAAAGAAATAAGATGAAACAGAAAAATTCGTTGTGTCATTCGCGGTAATAATATAATACAATAACGATGAACCTACTGCATAGACAGTGGTTGGAGTACAAAATACATACTGTGTGAGCAAAATACTACGATACCCGCCTTCGGCTAATGAAAGTCGACGACACCGCGATGTGTCAATTTGTCTTTGGCCGCATAAAGTTTCATTCAATAAAGTCCACCAAAGCTATGGACCGGTAAGATCGAAACCGTTATGCAGACCGTTTATTGATGAAAATGGCCAAAGGCAGTGAACAATAACAATACAAAATAATAATAAAATATGTTATCGTTACCTGTAAGTTGATAGCACGCGCAAAACTAGTCATCTCCGCCTCTTTGTTATTAACATAATAATATTTTTAAAAAAACTTAGCGCGGACCGTGTGTATTCGAGAGGCAATTGTTAATGATCAGCCACGGACGATATTATAATGATGCAGTTGACATAGACACTAGGTTACTACAAAAGGAGAATCGCCTAACTTAAATGACTCCCTCGATCGAATAAATCTGAAACACATAAGGTGTTGTTCATGAGCTATTGCGATATCCTTACACGGAAATATAAAATCAATTATGGAATTATGAGCATACCCAAAGAGAAATCGTTTTACTCATTGAAAAAACGAAATTAAAATAATTTCTAAAAGGTATTTTAAATCGACCGTAAAGGTCGTTGGTGCCTAGTTAATTTCAGGCCCTCAGTAAATCAAAGATTATGACCATTATTATAAGAGCGAAATAAGAAATAATATCGCATCGAAGCTAAAATTGCTATTCCGTTGAATTATTCTCAAATGCATTAAAACTACGTTATAAGTACTAACCTGAACATTTTGAAAATATACTTCGAACTTTTTTTTCCTAAACACCAAATATATAATAAATAAAATACAAAATATTTATTGAAGACTAATGACTATACGAGTATATACTCACTAAATTAACAAAGATTGAATATGAATATTATAAAAGACAATAATAAATACTAGTCTAAATATTTTAAATGAAACAAAATATTGCTTTGACAAAAGTTCCGACTTTTAAAAAAAAAAGTTATTTAAAGGGACAAACAGTAACTTCTCCGTCGTATAGATAATATATAGATTATTATACACTAAGACTTAACATAAGGCAGGATGACTAACATCCTGTGTGACATCCATTCATATCTTCAATAAAAAAATAAAAATCTAGTGAGCACGTCTGTAAACTTAAAATTTAAAAAAACATGTCATTGTCAAGCAACGTCACAATAATCCTCCGACACTTTAACCCAATAAACTTAAGTCTAACTTTAAAAAAAAAAAAAAAATAGTTATAATATAAAGTACTGTTCATTGATGAATTGGCATTAGTGAATTTTTCGATATGATCGACGCTCGTTTAAAAAACTTAATTCATTCGAATATATTATTAATAACAGTTATATGACGGCGTTAAAATTAGGCAATTATCTTACGTCTAAGAGTCTAACTTTACTTTTAAAATTAGAAATACGTGTTTTTACTTTTAAGAAAAGCTGATAAAGCTAATTAAAATGATATCCATTAAATTAATTAACATTAATAATATATCTATGTATGTATAATGTTTGAAGATTTCATAAATAACTAGATCATTTGTTTTCATTTATCTAAAATTACTATTGTTTAGTGACACACGTCAATCGTCACTTTGTTAAAAACTATATTACTAAACAAAATTAAAGTTATTAAATTGAAGAAAACAATTACCTTGATGTGTCGATCTGACAGTTTTACTCAAGCTTAAAACGACAGCAACTGTAACACTGCACAATTAAAAGAAACGATAAAATTGTTCTTGTAATTTACAATTAAAATTAATGATTAGTTAGAACACTTAAACTTGATTTTAACTCAATTTTATCCAGGCCACTACAAAATACATAATGATATTATATTATAATGTAATACATATAGGTATTAATATATTATGGTTTGTAAACATTGAATTGCGTACATTTTTTACAATTACTTACTTGGATACACTAAAGTACGCGAAGAAACCTGGAGCCGTAAGATATTATTTATTATAGTTTACATTGTCCTGTAGCTTTGAAAACAATAATAATTACCGTGAAACCAGGTTTTTAATAACGCCCATAGATAAATCAGCAAGACCGCAGCATTATAATAAATATTACGTTTGTACTGAAGTACCATAATGAAAGGAACGAAAAACAAAAGAAATTTTGAGTTTTTTTTTAAATAAGACACACTCATTGTCTATGATTATTGGTTGTATAATAGTATCATGATGATTGCTGAAAAATGGTATCGAAAGCTAGTAGGTGTAGTGTTTTTCGCATACTGTACTTCATACCCACTGGGAACACTAATATCATAATACCAATTGATATTCAATATTCACATTCAACTGTACCTACGGGGTTATGGTTCAAAAATATAACAGCTAATATCGGGTCAAAAAACTAACTGTTCGTAGTTCTTAATTAACGTGCTACAGTAATACTGTACAAAACATTATAAGACAATTAGTCGAAAATCAATGTCACACAAAATCTTCTGTGAACTCCAGTAATATAATATACTACTAACTCCTATTTAAAACCCGGATTTACTTGGGGGGCTATTTTTTCTTTGGTATTTATTTAACCTTCATCTACATAGACCATTGTGATCTAGCAGTTCAATTATAATACAGTATGATTTTACAACGAGTGTAAGAACAATTAACATTTAGGTCTTAATATATGTATTATTTTACATACAGTATTTTAATACAGTATTTTTAACACTATTAGGCATTTCACACACGGAGGACATTTTTGCGATTTGTTCTCGTTTATATTAAGGGGATGCTATACTTAAACCTTAAATTACAAATTAAGCTGTTTTTTTCTATTTAGCAAAAAATAATTTTAGTCCAAAGAGATATTTAATGAATTTTCATTTTAAAAATGTGTTTTAATGGATATTATAATAAAAAAATTAATCTATATTATTGTATGTTCCGAAGTTATTCACTTATTGTATATAATATACATGTTTAGCATAAAGAAGTCATAAATAGTATTAAAAAAAAAAAAATAATCTACATTCGAAAGTTACCGACATTAATATTATTTACATAAATCTTTTTAATAACAATTGAAGCTCTTGTTAATGCATGGAATTTCTAAATTCTATTTGTTTTTATATTGTTGCCGAAATAAAAACAACGGTTGCGCATAGTGACAATAGTCTATTTACCCAGTTAGTGTGGTGGATAATAAAATCTGTTTTCGCTTTACAAACTATCGACCATCTACGTTTGGAACAAAACATCTCGATTTACATTTTATTTACATTTTATACTCTATAGTGTGTATAAAATATGTTTTTTTATAATAATGAATTTATTTAGTATTATGTCCGTGCATGCCGTTATTTTTGTTGCTTACTTGCGCACATTTGTCTTGACAAAACTTGAATTAATGTTTGCCGATGTACAAAACAGGTGAAAACAATTATAGTATACAATGATGAGTTACGTCTAACAAACGGCGTGACCAATATTTATAATCCTGTTACTCGACATGGAAACATAACCTAACCAATTTTAAGTTACACAAAAATACATGTATTCTTAAATAAGTATATAAATTTAAATGTGTTAATGCTTCCATGGATTAAATATATTTGATTTGATAATATTCGGATGTATCCATGTCTGATTTGTTGCTGACATTTCGGACTCATTGCAGAGTCAATCTACAGAGCGATAGTCACCATGCCATTGCCGCGACTATTATACTCAATATGATATAGTTAGTATATAATTTCCATAGTCTTAATTTTTCTCTTGATCGCGCAAATTAAAGGGTAATTTGACTGACAGCCGGAAACAAGCCCGCATCGCGTGTGAAATATTTATAATTGAAAAACGGTACTTAGATCAAACTGATAAAGCACAATTTCAATTTGTAATGAAATTTAAGGCAAGTGGCACGGAAATCCATTAAATTTAATTTCCGATAAAAAGTCATACTATCACTTTCTGATCCGTTCGGTTAGAGAGACAGCATTATGAGAGACAACTTAAGCACTAGCATGAAAACTTAGGTTTTAATATCTAAGTAGAAAGATGCGCCCCACGTTTTTCTAGTTCATCTGTCCTATTTGGTTATCAAGACCCCCGGAGGGTTATTTTATACTTTTTAAGGCGCATAAAAACGTTATTTTTTTAGATTAATTTTTTACTATTAACTTCTGAACTTGAATCAAATTCGCACAATGGGAAACCAACATCATTTTTTATTTTTACGAACTCTATGACGTTTGAGTACACTTTATTATTATTTATTAGTATTGTTATTATTATTATACTATAATTACACTCACCAGATGGTGACCGTAGCCACATAGTGAATCGAACGATTAAACGTTAAATGTTCAGTGTTCTTCGAACTCAATACAAGCGCATTGTTATCGCTTTAGATGATTCTTCCTTCTTGTGTTGGAAGAAAGAAGAAATGTATTTCTATTCAAGCGGGGAGGGTTGCTATGGCATTTTAGGGGTGGTGGGGAGAAGACAAGGTGACGACATAGTATTTTAATTCAGTTTTGAATTCCCAGACGGATTTTGTTGTGTCTTTATAATGAGAAGTATTGCTGCTGTTGTAATGTGGGTACTGGTAGAGGTAGATAAAAACAGTTTTCTTTTGAAAGAGTTACGTATGCGTCTGTGTGGACCACACGTGAGTTTATTTTCCTTCCTGCTGGGACGTCAAGTTCTACCGCCGAAACACAACAACAATACAATACAGAGTAATCAATTTGAATTAGATATATATTTCCTTTTATCTTAAAGGTTAAAATTGTTTTATATTTTTTCTTTTATAATTATATAGGTTAAAAATTTAAACATCAATAATAATTTTGGATGATCTTCTATAATTTTATAATAACACACAAATCAATAACATAGTAAAGTTAATGATGAAAATAATACAAAATAATATCTTCTCAGCTCCTGTTTTTAATTATAAATGAGGGTGATAAAAGTAGATTAAAAAATTAATCTAAAAATAACGTTTTTATGCGCCTTCAAAAGTATAAAATAACCCTCCGGGGGTCTTGATAACCAAATAGGACAGATGAACTAGAAAAACGTGGGGCGCATCTTTCTACTTAGATATTAAAACCTAAGCTTTCATGTTAATGCATTAAGTTGTCTCTCATAATGCTGTCTCTCTAACCGAACGGATCAGAAAGTGATAGTATGACTTTTTTTTGGGAATGAAATTTAATGGATTTCCGTGCCACTTGCCTTAAATTTTATTGCAAATTGAAAAGACTTAATTGCTGTTCTCTCCAAAGTTTGTTTTATGTAGGTTGCTTCATTTTTTTTGTTAACTACCTACTTGCTTAACATTTAAAGTAATGTGGTGCTCAATTTTACATGACATGTCATTAAGTATTATTTTATTTAGAAGAGAAAAGATGATTGTGCATGAGTTATGAGTTATTAATGAGAAGAGAATGTTATTATATACTCAGACGTGTGAAGTAGTAAAGATGCGCCCCACGTTTTTCTAGTTCATCTGTCCTATTTGGTTATCAAGACCCCCGGAGGGTTATTTTATACTTTTGAAGGCGCATAAAAACGTTATTTTTAGATTAATTTTTTAATCTACTTTAGTTTTTTTGTTCTTTTTCGTTTTCGTATGTACGTATCTATACATTTAAATGTACAATGTTATTGTAATCTAAAAAACTAGAATATTGCGTAAAACAAATCACTTAGTAATTATACTAATATACATAAACAATTAACGTCATACAAGAATTAATTCAAAAAATAACTTTCAGTAAATAGAAGTAATTTTCATTCGGTTGCATTATAATTGATCTGACTTAGTTCCCAAAAATTAATCATTTGAAATCGTTTAATTTATCGTCACATTAATTATTAATAATATATTATTTATAATAGGTAATATATTAAATATATGTTTTTAAAATAATAACAGTGTTCATAATTATTCTAAAACTGTGTGGGTTTAATGTATTAATACAATTAACATAGTCATCAAGTAAAGGCGACCAAGGATAAACGGCATAACAACAAAACGGATTTCTCACGCGAGTTGAGTTCGCGACAAACTGACGCCTAAGTCTAGCTTCTGACAATAAAACAAATCAATACATAGGGGTACGGGAAAACGTTTTTATTTTTTTGGAAATCATGCACGAAATGCTTGTAAACACTAATAAAAACTTAGGAAAGTCAATACAAAGTATATATTTACCTAACGCTACGTAGTAAGTATTTTCCTAATATATATATATATATATTTATACTTATATGTATATATAAGTAAATAATAAATGCACTAAGTTAATATTTATATGTGTTACCTATACACATAGGTAAGCTGGTAAGCACTAAACACACAAAACCCGCAAGTAAACCTATAGGAGACGCCAACTGTGCAAAATATAAGCCGACACACGTTTAGGTCTTTGACCTTACACAGGCTGAGTCACAGTAAAACAGTGCAGTACCATTCTCTCAAGAAAGTAATTTTCCCCGACCAAATATTTTCTTGACCTTTCCAACGTTAGACACAAATGCGAGTATACACCGAAAATCCGTGACTGTAATGGTTGGCTTGGATAGATTTATTTTGCTTTGAAAGCATTTTTAAAATTATAATTTGCAACGTATGTAAATGGTCTTTTTCTAGAACAATACGTGTAACAACATTTACAATATTTTTAACGATGATGAAGTGATAATTGGCAAAAAAATATATATACTATAAAACAAGCTATACAATATTATTAAGGCATATAAACATCGTTTATTATTATTTTTTTTTTTATTAGCATTTATTATTGAAATATTATAAATTATCAATATCATCATCATCATGTAGCTTAACGGGCCATCAAGGCCCAAACGCTGCCATCATGAGATGGTTTCTTGACGAATTCGCTTCCGGGACGGGTCGTCAATCCGTCGCCGGAGAGGGGGATGGCGGTTCCTTTTTACCGGACGATTGCTCGCCCAGCAAACGGAGCGCCTGTGACCGAGAGTCGAACCGGCGACAGTGAGCGCTAACACACTGCCGCCTTACCCACTCGGCCACTCCTCCTCCTAAATTATCAATATACATATTTTATATATGGATACTTTAGAGCACACATGTCTATTTTTTTTCAAAATCGTGATTTTGGTATCTCTGAATTCGTGATAAAAATCACAATAATAATTGAATGAACCCAAAATCACGACATTGAAAAAAAATGGACCTAGCACTTGTGTGCTCTAAGGTATCGATATC